ACAAAGGAAATAAAATAAGAAGTAACAAACAGTAAGAGTGATAGTTTAATATTCAAAGGCTCGTATGGCACACAATATCGTCGATCCTCTAGGTCATACGTGTCGCAGCACTTTGCAGGGGAATTAACAGTTGCCAGAGTGATATATCTTTCTGGAAAGATATACTATATAATTTCTTTACTCTTTTAGAAAATAGATAAAATACCTTCAAGTAAAATAATCCTATATCTTTTCAAACTAAAGTTGAATAAGGAAAGGCAAGGTGTTATGGAAGTTAAATAAATTTGTATTCGGTATCTACGACCTTATATTCAGAAGTGTTTCACTGGAATTGTGTCATAAAGACGAGGATGAAACTACAGCACGAGGGCCAGTTTATGAGTCTTGCGATAATTCCTCGAGTTTCTAGTATCAAACGATGCAGAGCAAATGCTTTTAGGTATCACGAAAGATATAAGTTTCCATACTATTGTAACTTCTCTCAAATAAAGTCTAAAATGATTTATTGTAGATTTTCAGGTTAAGTTTATTGAACATTCTCGTTGTTGAAACTTCCAAAATTATTTTTACATTTTCACCCAATTGCGTATATCGTATTAAATTCAGTTGCATAGCGATATTTTATTTCTTTAAATACTAAAAAGTCTTCTTCTTCAATCTCAAATAATAACTTATATTATTTGATCTTTTTTTTAAGTAATCGGTTTAAGTATGGCTGTGGAATCAGTTATTTAAATAATTAGAAATTAATAAATTTTGTTTATGCAACTCTGTAAAATATTAATTTGCAAATGCATTATTGAATATTATAAATTGAAAGTATTATGAGCTATTTATGCGTTAAATCTGATATGCATTACAGTTTTATAAAACGTAAATAAATAATAAAGGCTCTAAAAGAACAGGCTCTGTGTAGATTAGCCGAGCTCGACAACTATTTGTTAAGCAAATCCTGCGTATTAGCAACACTGATTAGAACGTTAAATCTTGTTGTGTTTACAGTGTCTGAATGATAATATAGGTATTAGGTTTTTATGGGATTAAATATAATTATTACTAAAAATACATCGACACTGTGAGCTCGCTTAAAAAAAAAATTTAAGTACCGAAAAAAGAAATAAAGTGTAAAGTTACAAGAATTCTTGTATGTCGATGTTATAGTCTTAAGTGCACTTCAAATTGTATGCAAATAATTGTGCAATTTTACCTTTATAATATTGAGTGTTTGAAATTACACAAATTATGTCGAATTTCTGCAATAGATTTTGACTTCTACCTTCAAAATATTAAGGTTCAAAATTGAGTGGGGGTAATTGACAGTTTCGTATAGTGTGACGTGCAGTTTACTGTACCTATTTTTAGTATTTTCACATTTTGAAGACAGATTCTTTCGTAAGAATTTGAAATGTGTTATTATTAGTTACCAAGTAGACTGCAAACAACAATTTGTTTACATAAAAACATCTGCTTTAATAGGATAGCAAGATGTAAAAACTTTGGTTATAATTTCACGTTAAAAAGAAGTGTTATTTTGGTCATCATTTCATTTTGCAGTAAAAAGTGTTTTGTTGACGGTATATTTTACAATATCTCTGGTAAGGGAGTTTTAATTATATTTAAATAATTAAGCGTTTATTTGAATATTTAAAACATAAATTCCGCCATTATCCGTGAGTATTGTACATATCATATTAACTCTGAACCTTAAAATTTAAACAAAGAAGACATTATAATTTCGTGTTATTCATTGATTGGGTAAAGTACACAGACATTGTGTTAAAATCAGTAACTCGAGATGTTTGCCGCTCTATTTTCACGCGAAGGCCCTTTCCATTACTAGCTAAAAGCTTTCTTTTATTTCAGCAACTTAAGCTCCGTACTCACATCCGGTATCGAGGTGTTTACCGCAAAACTCATCTCTCAAAGGTTCATATTATCGAGCCGGCCCAATAAAATTAAACAAAGCCAGCCGATGAGCTTGACTCGAGTGTATGTATGTACAATAATGTACATATCCACGAGTCAGACGTCAGGTCTATGTGCGTATGAGTTTATTCGAAAAGGGTAATCGAGCAATTAAATAATTTATATAGAAGTTATGATTCTTTATGGAATGATATCAAATAAAATTTGGCTCGAACGGTTTCGTGAAACCTACCGAACGTCGTATCACCGTATAATAGTATGTTTATATTTATGTAGCTGCCAAGTTAGTCTGCGCTAAAACTAATATATAGAATAAAAAAAAAATAAGTTCAAAAACTAAAACAGTTAAATCTAAAAAGTTTAAAACAAGCAATTTTTTTTTTTAGTTTCTTACTTTATGCTCTCTAGAGGGCGCTGTTGCCAATTTAATGTAACGTAGCCTATAGCACGCGGACAACTAAGATGCTTCTAATGATATCTTATTTGTCCAGTTACGATGAGTAGTTTCGAAGTTATAAGGGAAGAGATGAACATTATCACATACATATACACACAAAGCGACCAAAATCTTAACCTCCTTTTTTTCTTCGCCGTAGTCAGGTAAAAATTAATTTTCTTACTACATTAACTATAAAGCAGTAGCATTGAAATTCATATTGTGGAAATAGATTTTGTAAATATAATATGGACATTATACCTAATATTATAAGGTAACATATTCCTTAACTTAATAACTAGAATAGCCTAAGAGTGCAGGATTTGTTAAACTATCTTGCGCTTCGTTAGTGAAATAGTTAGGTCTCGAAGTAATAACCTCATTAAATCAGCAACCAAAATGCCTTGTTTAAAAGTTTGTGCTAATAAATTACACAGGTGAAAAAGGTAATCTCTAAATTGTTGATTGTAACTAACGTAATGTTATTTATCGAAGGATTTTATTACTGAATAATGGATTAAGTTAATTGTTATTTGTTTTTTATCTAATGTAGTGGAATCAGAGTAGAAAGGATAAGTGAAGTCTCTATCGTAATATTGTGATGCTTATGGTGCTATCTTATGTGTATTTCTACCAGTGTGGCATGTGGTACCCGGAAATGTTTTATGTCACTTTTTTGTCCACATTGTTCCCATTTGTCCAGTCTTTCGAGTTTTTCATGCCATGATTAATGGATTTACTTATTTGTGTAATGAAAAAATATTCAAACCAATTGGTGGTCTGTACAATTTAGTACATTTTGCCAGACCATTTTTTGACGTAAAGAATAATCACCATATTTCTTAAGAGTAAGATGCGTTAATCGAACAAGCATTAATCTAAGAATAATGACCATTTTGACGAACAATAATAAAGTAACAGGGTTGAATTAATTCTCCCAAGAAAAAAACACATAAATTTACTTACCTCAAACTAAAATTACACAACGGTTACCTTTTCTACTATAAAGGAAATGAATATGTTCATGAGCAAGCAGTAGCACTATTAATTAATAAAAGTCTTAAGCGTAATATAACAATTATATAATTCTATGTTTGATAGAGTTACATTTCTAACCATTCATTGCTGAGAATTATTTAAATATATTTACCGACTAGCACATCGATTGACGATGAAGTTGAAGTGGTGTATGAGGACATTTCAGAGTGTATGCGGAAAATTCAAACAACGTATTCTATTGTAACTGTGGATATAAATAAAGCTCCTGGTGAAGATGGGGTTGTCATCGAAATGATGAAAGGAAGTGGCAATGTAGTAATAAAGTCCTCAACAAGCTACTAAATATAGGTAAGTGTCTTAAGGAAGGAAGAATATCCAAAGAGTGGGAATGTGTCAATGTTATCTTAAAAATGGTAACAAAGCACATTTAGAGAAATATCGTCCAATTAGCTCATATCTCGGCTTTACAAACTACTTACTAAAATTACTCATATGTAGGAAGTCTACCAATAGGAATAGGAATAAACCAATATTAATTAAGAGGTGTTAAAAAAGGATATAAACTTTCCCCCATGTTTTTCAAATTCATTTAAGTACACGCCTTTATGAAACTTCCATGAGATCAACATGGTCTAATTATAGCAGGAATTAGAATGAGTAAGGTTCGCGGATGATATAGTTCTTCTAACAGATAACCTAAAAAAAGTACAAATTATGATCCAGGAGTTGAATAGCTCTACTCTTGTTCTTTAGACTAAAGAACAAGAAGATGATGAGTTTTATTTATATAAACGAAACTGTGCCAATATAGCAATATTGTGTTGATTATTATTTGCATAACAAAAACCACTAGGAGAATATTAATGCTTTAAATTGTTATGATGATATCATAAAGTTATTTATTATTAACTTAATTAAAGACAATTATACGTTATCCGTAGGATAAAATATTTTTTTATTTCTATCTCTAATTTGTTTGGTTTTGATGCCAAACAACCAAACTTGTAGCAAAATTGTTTATGATGTCTTAAAAATGGATAATGAACCATATTCATATAAGCATCAAGATTCAAAGTAAATGGCAAGTATACATTTAGATAATTGGAGGTCAAATTTGTGATATTACGAGCTCCGGTCCGCTATATTCGTCGTGTTTGATGTTTAGTGTGTATTATCGCTCTAGCAAGGGATATCGATTCAAGTTTATTGCAGAGCGTTTTTAAACAATTTCAGTTGTAGTTGTCTGATTTCTAACATTAAAACTATATTGACGAGTTCTAGTATGGCGATGCCGACCAACAGTTTGTTTGTGAGTTATGCTTGTGTGTGAAAAAAACTAATTGTGGATTCATATACAATACAAATCGCAGTTAAAAAGATTCCAGGTGATACAATGCCGTAAAATCGCTCCATGAAATTTTAAACTTTAATCTGCGTAGTGTTAACCTAAAAATCAATTATCCACATTTTGTGAGAACCTGTTTTTGTGTACATATAAAAATGACCTTGGCATTATGCTACAGTATCAATAAAAAAAGTAAATTATAGTTATCTGTCACTTAACATTTTTATCGGTATCTGTGCTGTGTAAGATAACATATGGAATAGAGAAACTCACACTACATACATTTTTAAAAACATGCAAGTGTCTAAATTGAGACCACTTTGTCAGATTACTACACTAAGCAATGTTATAACCAGGTAAGTAACTTATAGTGTCATTAACTAATAGTAATTTATTGTAATTGTTAACGACGAAACCCTACTATGCTAATTTAATATACAAATAGGCTTTTATTTTACTGAACAGTTTCCTAGACATAAAAGTACTGCTTTTTAAAGAAAATTTGTAAAGCTTCTCTATCACTCAGCATTTACTTATTAATACCAAAAATATAATGTAAATAAAAATTGACTTTTACACGCAATGAATTGAATAAGTAGGCACTTGAGATTTTGAGACACTTTATTATTTTTGACAAATTTCGAATTTAATAATCTAAACTGGAAAAGAACAATGGCCATCTGCCTAACATGCTTGGACTAGTAAAATCTTATAAAACGTAACTTGATGAAATATATGTTATTTTGTTTGCCTATGCAAGTAAAAGGAAGAAAGACATGAAATATATTTTTAAAAGCTGGGAGTATCGAGTAAGTGTGCAACATGTTTTTGAGCTTATGTCGTATATTATTTAAACTAGCATTTTAGTTAGATGTATTACAGTTGAAATATGTAGAGCACACATCACATAATGCCTAATAGTGATCCTAGAACTGCATACTTTCACATAATACTTCAACCTTGCTCCATATCTGATAGATTATTTTTATTCACTGTAAGAAATAAAAACATTTTTTGTGAACCAATGAACCTCCAAAAAAATTATAATATAATTTTTATGATTTACTTTTCAATCTTACACTAGTAGTAGTGAGAATACTTATTTCAAAAGGGTATAGTAAAACAACATGTTGATTTTTCTTTTCTTTATTACAATTCTCCAATGAATACCTCATCAAGGAATGCTGCAGGAGCAGTTACATTCTGTTCGTGTCTGGCTCATCCAAGATACCAAACTATGGTCATTATATGAACACAACATCCCATCCCATGAGCCATCTAACCCGGATGTGTCATTATTATTTAGAATGTACACATAATATTGTTTTCTCGCAATACATCTCGACTTAATTCTACTCCTTATAATTGAGAATTCATTTATATTTAATTCTAATTCTAATAATCCAGAGAATATGGTATTTTTCTACAAACCTCAATCCTATACTGCCCATGGAACCTAGTATGCTCCCCATAATACAGAAGATAAAACAAAATCGCACAGAACACAAAACTGCCGCCAAGGCTACAAAACGGTTTGCGCAGAAACACGTCTACACATGCTCACAGAACAAAAGCACTCCACATGCTTATCAAAAATAGGGAGGTCGCAATTGATTGATTACTATAATATCGATTTTTATGAACAACATTAGTTTTTAATTTCATTATAAATTAACTATTTTACTCTGGGTAACATCTAATTTTATTAGTAATCTATCTAATTTTCATGGATTTATACGGTTAATAAATAATATGAGATTTGTATCAAATTCGATTAATCAGAAATAAAATCGATTTTATTCTTTGAAAAGAGATGGACTTCTCTAGGAATGACATTATTATTAATTAAAATTAAACTGGGTTCTAAAAAATAAAGACATATTTTAGAGAGGATTATCTTTGATTTCCCAGCTTTTAAAAATAAATTGTTGGTATACAATAATTACATTCAACTATACTACATTTTGGTGATAGTTCCATCTTTGTAACAAGAACTTTTATTCATAATCTATTTTGACCTACTTATGATTTTTTTATCGAAAGTTGTAAAATATTTGTAAAAATATTTCTTTCGGCTGTTTGGGTGGATTGCCCAAACATCGATGAAAACACGCTCTGTAATGGCGAAAAAGTAACAAGTATTTGAAAGATTCGTCAGTCCTGTTAGGTCCTGGGTAGCTAGGTAGTAAGCATTTTTCATTGAGAATAGCTATTTTAATATCATATATTCAAGTATTAAATTCGTTTCAGTGAAATAAAAAAAAAAAAAAATCAAAACTACAGATCCAATTTTGATAAAGCTGTTGTCTTTTTTCTTTTTTTCCCTACTCACTATACTTCTTTTCTTTTAATTATTGAATGCTTGTAGGTACTAATAAAGCTTTCTTAAAAACGATTTAAAGACCTATTTACCCTTAAATTACCCAAATGCTGCATCTACTTAATTTCATATTACAGCACTGTCGCATAATCGTTTGTTGCGTTAGCGTGATGTCAAACAATTGTCGACCTTCAGTGTATCGCACTAGCATACATTCGAACCACAGTTATTCGCAATACAGTTTTGTGAACAAACATTAATCGCATTTTCGATCGTCGGACTCGTGTGGTGCACTCATAATTTTATTTCTTTATTGTAATCTAATTGCTTTTGGGAGCACAGGCTTATATTTTACCGGCTGTGACGATTATATTTTTCTACTTTGCTTGATTATAACTTACTCTGTCTTGATTATAAGTTTCCAACTTTGCCTAAGTTTTTAAATATTGACTTTATTTGCTTTAAAAAGTTTAAAATGAATTAATGACATTTATTGCTAAAGTGGTTGTAGCTCTTTTACGTCGATATGTTTATGATTTTTTTTGTGTGGTATGACATACGGTCAGATGCACAAACAAATTACGATTTAATGACGCCTTTAAGCTCTAATGAATGTCAAATTTGTATGGGTAATGTCGCCTTAAACTAATAATAATTTTAATGCACGCTTGTGCAACTGGCTGATAGATTTTTTATTACGAAAAAATCTAAGCGTTTTCCCTTGGATCTTATATGTCTTGGATCATGCGGGCAAAGCGATCAGTTTTATATAACTAAAAAGAGAATAAAAATAAAATAAAGTAGGTAATGTAGGATGTAATGAAGCACTATAGAATTATAAAAAAATAAACTAAGAAAAACACATATTTTTACAGAACAGTAACCGCAGGTACGTCAAATGTGATTGACACACAACTGAAATCATGGAGGGCGATTCCAGGACCCTCTTTATGGGACGTTATAAAGGAAGCGATGCCTGGATCTGGAGGTAAAATCAGAAACCATCTCTACGTTATAATAAACTAATTTGACGTTTTATCGAGCCGAATAAGAATATATTGATATACTCTCAAAGTTAAATAATGCAGCAAGAAGAGTAAAGAAACTAAACAGAGATTAAATGTCATGAATGGCGTTGGGTACACCAATACAGGCATGAGTGTTCTTAGAGCGCCTTATGCAAGTAACCCATTCATGCATAAAGTGCTCTAAGGATACCGTAGCATCTATAAATAAGTACAGTATCGGGGCAGTTGTATGAAGCTTTGTCTCTGTTTAGTTCTTTTACTTTGGCTTAATAATATAAAGATATGTATATAAGTACACATACAAACAGATTACATCAAATGCACTTATCGCTGACGAGCAGGGACGCTAACACACCACCCCGACTTAGGTACAATACAAAATACGATTTCGATCACGCATAGTCACTTCGCTTAAGAGTGCATATATCTGTCGATATAATGCGACGAAATCAAGAAACCCGGTGTATTATGTGGCAATTAATAACGCGAAAACCATCATTGTGATGGTATAAAGTTGTCGTCGTTCATTATCCTATTAATATTATAAATGTGAAAGTTTCTTTGTTTGGATGTTTAGATGTTTGGATGTTTGGATGTTTGTACGTCAATCACGCCGAAACTAATGAACGGATTTTGATGAAATTGGGTATACAGATAGAGTATTACCTGACTTAGATAATAGGATACTTTTTATCCCACCAAAAGGTTCCCTAGGGATAAAAGTACTTCCAACGGCGCCTATTTTTGTGAACGCTGCCTAAACGGTATGAGATATACTAATGCTTTCTAAAGAAAAGTTGGAGAGCCTTAAATTATCTATAAAAAAGTCCGCGATGTCATATATCTATATGCAAGGGTTTTGCCACAAAAATAAAAAGAACTTTATATAAGTCTATTTAAATTTTTCGTCCGTCTTTAAACGTTTATTTGAGTAGGTGATATTAAATCCTTATCGAAATAAATATGTTTATCGTCGAAGAAATTTAATATACATGAAAATTGTCTTTTACACCATGTAGATTGGATAAGTAGTTTAGATTTTAATACGATGTTTTTGAGAAAATAAAACAACGTATATTGCCGATTTTCTAAACACTATTTTATGTACATGTATGTATTAAGATAAAACAGCATTTTTAATGTAATCGGTAATATTAAGCCAAACAGATGGCATTGCCTGTATTCTATATTGCGATGTTGAATTACCGCAACTACTTGGATATAGATGACTGTGACTCTGCGGTGCGATTCAATATTCTCTTCGTTGTAAGTGATTTCTGCGTTGTCAATTGGTTCTATTTGTCGATTTGGCTATTCTAACGGACTTGACTTGACATTTTGTGTGATTTTATCTCAAATAACTTCTATATTTTCTATCTATTTAGCAATTCTCTAACTTTACATATTTATATTAAGATCTGTATCTAGCTTTCTAAATCTACTTCTCAATTAACTCTTTGTTTGTTTCTTGGGTCTACCTCTGAATCTTGCAAGTCAAGAAAACCCAACGTGCAGCATTAGCAAAAGCAGCGACCGCGGTGCCCTTTTGCAACAATGTAAATTAATCGTGTAGGACGAGTGCACAATGTCGCACAAGCGCGTGGTTGAGGCTTTAAACCGGAGCCTGCAGGACATCCGCAGCAATGAGACGCTGATGGGAGGTGCTGTTGTTGTACTCACTGGTGATTTTCAGCAAACTCTTCCAGTTATCGAAAGGGGTACACCGGCAGATGAAATGAACGCGTGTCTCAAGGTTTCGTCACTTTGGTCCAACGTAGAAAAACTCCACCTTACTCGGAATATGCATGCACAACTTTACAATGATACAGAATCAGGTGCGTTTGCGAGTAAGTTGCTGGAGATCGGAGATGGTAGGCTGAAAACCGATCCGGACGGCAAAATCATTTTCACCAATGAATTTTGTGCTACTGAGGAAGAACTACTCGCCGATGTATTTCCCGATTTAAAAAAAACAAATTAAATAATGCGGAGTGGTCGTGTGAGAGAGCAGTACTGTCGCCAAAAATGAATTAGTGAATAAAATAAACAACAAGGTATTAGATGGCTTATCGAGTGTGTATACGTCCATAGACACGGTGATGGCAAGCGATGACAGCACTGCGTATCCCGTGGAATTTCTCAACTCATTAGAATTGACCTGCGTACCGCCCCACAAGCTGGAGCTGAAGGTTGGCGTCCCAGTTGATGCGTAATCTTGACGCCCCGCGATTGTGCAACGGCACAAGATTACAAATCAGCGAATTGGGAAGAAACATTCTGCGAGCAACAATACTTACGGGAGCAGCTAAAGGCGAGAGCGTGTTGTTTCCCCGCATACCCATTATACCCCACAATTTACCATTCCAGTTCAAAAGGCTGCGTTCCCATTGAAATTGGCATTTGCTATGACCATCAATAAGTCCCAGGGACAAACCCTAAAAGTGGCCGGCATACATTTGAGCATTCCCTGCTTTACCCATGGCCAGCTCTATGTGGCATGTTCTCGAGTGTCAAGTGCAAGGAACCTGAATGTACTTGCTGCAAATAATAGATCATACAACATCGTATATAGATCAATATTATAAGATAGTCATAATCGATGTTGTATGATTTATTATTATCAAAATCTGTTCAATGGTTGCAGCGTGATTGACTAGCAAACATGAAATTGTTAATGATAAAATAGAAGTTAGTTAGGTCAGATTTACTTTACTCTGGATATACCTACAGAATTATTTAAATTATTTTTTATCTCACTAAACATTTCCTTAGGAACCACGCGGGCGAAGCCGCTGGCGAAAGCTAGTTCCTAATAAAAATAAGATAAATTGAATTTGATGTCGTTAAATTAAACAGATACATCACACATACCTTCTTTGTAGATTGTACGTTTTAGCAAAGTTTTTTCATTTAGGTTTGTTTTTGCCTGGACTTCTTAAGTACTGTTTAATTGGTGACGAAAATATTGTCACTCTACTCATTTTCCTTTTAATAACATGTAATCTTAGATATTTTAATATTATAATCTTAGATCGATATTTTAAATATATAAATCAACAATCACAACATATTTACTTTACTAATAACAAGAACTTTAGGAATAATTTATTGATATAAATCTGTGTTATTTTAGAAAAGATATTAGATTTCACTGATGGGCTAAAGATGGGGTTAAATTTATATAACTCTTATGGACCGCTTGTGAAAATAGACGCATTTCTAGGAAGACCAGTAATTATACTTTTGTATGATCCAGAATGTTGTGCGCAGGTAAGTTTAAAAACAAATAATTATGATAATTCATTCTAAACTGGAAGCAAAACAAATATTATATATCTAATTGTGATGAATATAGTTTAGAAATAATCACGCTGCTATAACGCTAATGTGACATAAGATGATATCAGTTAATGCTGAACTGTATTTTGATATTAGGCTCGACTGGTGACATATCCATATCATCTGCTTTTCTTCTCGCCAAGTACTTGTAAATATGTAAACAGCATGTAATTTTTTTTTCATTATAACCTCTAAGGTCTCGATGGAGTTTGGTAATTTATTTCTGCTATCCCACTCGTATATTTATTGTTTATTGTTCGTACATAACAGAAAGTTAAGATCAGAGAACAGCAGGGTGATTGTGAAGATATCCGAACCCGAATTCGAATTCACTTATGTGACCGGATTCACGTCATTTAGTGAAGAAATTCTTTTGATACCATTTTTTGTATAAAAATAAGATGTTCTATTCCTATGTCGATTCTAAACACACTTTACTGATGCCACGAAACGTTATTAGCAATCCAAGATTGAGCGAATGCCGTTTTTTGAGGTGAACCCAAGTGAATTCGAATTCGGGCTTGGATTTGTACAGAATCTGTGATTCTGTACGACAGAAATGCTAATAAGATATCTTAAGATAAAATATCACTCACTGTACATTCAAATGGTCCAACACAATATAGAAAATATTATAGCATTTATATTATTGTATCTTAACCGCGCCTGATAGTCAAAGATGTTAAAATGTGATATTGTGTTAGATCTTAACCGCCTGTTATGAGCTTTATTTTTAATTACACTGCAACTTATCGAATTCCCAGACATTTTTTATAGATGAAATAAATTAATATTCCAAACATGTATTTTTTTTGTACAATATGACCTAAGAAGACGTTGTATTAAGCGGAATGATTCCTGCTAAGTGATATCACTTGCATTCTGCAAACTCTTATCCGTAACTTATGTAGTTTTGTCATTGAAATGGTTACAATCAATACGATAGGCTATTGGATAGGGTCAATTTCCTCAATAGATTAAAAGACGACAAAAAAAAAGAAACGTAGTAATCTGATTTGTCAATAATATAAGAATATAAAAGCGAGCAATGGATTTGTAATATAATATTCACACATGAAATAATGTAATGATATTTTCTAAAGAAATATCCGAAAATTTTTTTTTTTTTTTTAGATATTACGCTCGGAAAATTGGTTACCTATTCGAACCGGTTTCGAATCATTTAATTATTATAGAAGATATAAACGCAATAAAAACAATGAAAACAAAAGTAATCCTAACATATATGGTCTATTGACAGAGTAAGTACAATATATTAGAAAGATAATAATATTAGAAATATATTTATATTGGTGCTAAAAAATTTCTAACTTTTATAAGTTAAACTCCTGTATGCTAAAATATATTAATTTTAATTATGTAATCTTAGTTATTTTCATAAATAAAAACGTAGTTTGACAAAACTTAATCTAAATTAATCTAGCCTGCGCAACAGAATTGCTGGAATCAAGGCTGGCCATGCATTGAGTTACTAAAAATTGATTATCTTACTTTTTCTTCAAACAAAGCATCCGTTCTATTAATGGCCCTGCTGTTGCCACAGGCCTTCCATATAAAGATGGAATGATTAATTAGCCAGAGCCTATCACGCAGGCTCACTGTGGATAGGGGGAATTAACGATGTTGAGACAGTCGCGACCAACATCGAAGCATAGAGGAACTGGACATAGTATAAGTCACACATCATATGAGCGGACATTGCGAAAGTTGTATTTTAATTTATAAAATATAGCTATAAAATATAGTAGATAAAATTTTACTTTATTTATAATATCAATATGTTATAGTCATGGTGAAACCTGGAAGCAATTTCGGTCTACCGTGAACCCAGTACTGTTGCAGCCAAAAACAATTAAACTTTACACCGCTATGATAGATGAAGTTGCACAAGATATGGTCGCCAGGTATTACTACTACTTCAACTTTTTGTATTAATTCACTTTAATTAAATGGAATTAAATGGACAATATAGGCATCTAACTCGTCTCTTGTCCCAATTTCAGTAAGAATTTAAATTAGCTAACATATTTTGGGTTATTAATTTCTAACGTAGATATAATAACCAACTGCGATGAATTAAAAGCAACAGTAGTTTTTTTATTTGCATTTAAGCTGATTTAACCCCACGTTTTAATTATCCAACCAGTAAGTCTGATTGTGAAACAACCATTTGACAATAAAACTCTAAATACCATTTGAGGACTTTAGTTTAAATGCCACTGTTTATATCTTTACTTAAATTGAAATCATCGTTCGTAATGCATAAGCAATAAATTACAAATGAAAATAAAATTTGTCCAATTTGAAATATGAAATTTAGATTAAGTCCTCAACCCCTTATGTAAGTACTTATTCAATATTTTATAGCATTTTCGTTAAGTCATTTATTATTCTCATATTAGATCTGATTTGGATCAAGTGTAGGGAATAACTGCTCCCATAAATAATGCCCTTGCAATCTTCAATAATATATTACAATCAATTTATATTTCAGATTAAAATCTCTTCGTGGAGAAAACAATGCGATCCAGAGTGATTTCGCTATGGAAATGAACCTATGGTCACTGGAGTCAATAGCCCTAGTCGCTCTAGGGCGACGGCTTAGATGTTTCGACTCACACCTATCACCCAACTCACCTGAGAAGAAGCTCATCCGTTTAGTTCATGATATTTTTAAGACGGCAAACGATTTAGACTTCAATATAAGCTTGTGGAGATACTTTCCAACACCAGCATATTTAAGAGCCATGAAATTATATGAAGAACAAGAAAAGTTAGTATTCGTAAACACCAGTGCAATAAATTACATTTCTAAACGAATTTTAATATGTATTTGATATAGTACTCTTTCGTCATCTCTAGATATCTATGATGTTTGTCATTATTGTCATAGTTTTTTCTCTTGTCTTCTGATATTTTCCTATATGTATTTTATAAGCTGAATAAAGCCTTTAATTCTCAAGGCTTGTCTTAATTACATAACAATTTATTCAGCTTATAAAATACTATTTTCAAAATGTCTATAGAAAAAGTCGAAAAGGATTCCAGAAAACTCAAATCTAGTATGATGCGTTATCTACGACCAGATCGCTTTGAGGAGGAGCCAAATGTTCCAGCAGCAGATCTGAAATGGAAGCACTGGTGTTTTACATTTGAGAATTTTATATCTGAAGATTGTGGAAAGAATACTGAAGATTCTGTAAAGCTAAAGCTGTTAGTAAACCACATATCTCCAACTATCTATTCTTACATTCGTAATATCTCGACGTATTCAGAAGCTATAGAAACTTTAGAAAATACTTACATTAAACCTAAAAACGAAATACTTGCCCGTCATCTATTAACATCGCGGAGACAAAAATCGGGAGAATCTTTAAAAGAGTACGTACAATCCCTAAAATTATTAGCTCTTGAATGTAAATTCCAAGCTGTAACCGCTGAAGTTTACCAAAATGAAATGATACGTGTGGCATTTATTGCCGGAATCAATTCCCAAAAAATAAGAGAAAGATTATTGGAAAAACTAAACCTTACCTTAGAAGAAGCCATGAATCTAGCCATGTCTTTAGAGGACGCTGAGACTAATACTCAAGCCTTCACGAACGCGAACTCTTCTCTAAATCTCAACGCAGTATCAAATTCGCCCGCTACCTTTTTGACTTCTCGCCAGAACAATAAAGGGCGTATCACAAGACGTTGTTTCTTTTGTGGTGGAAACGTGCACCAGAGAATCAAGTGCCCAGCTTTCCGTTCTGAATGCCAGCTCTGCTCAAAAACAGGACATTTCGCTAATGTTTGTCGAAGCGGTCTGCCTCAAAGAGTAAATGCTCTAACTGAAAATGAGATAGAAGTAATTGAAAGCAAAGAAAATTTGTCTGTAATATTAGCTGCATCACCAAATAGTCTCAGAAAGGCTACTGTATCTATTACTGTCAATGATTATCGAGCAGATGCATTAATCGATACAGGGAGCTCTGTGAGCTTTATAGATCGGAGCTTAGCACAAACTATGAAACTGAAGATAAAACCTAGTAGACAATCTATTACATTAGCCTCCTTAAGCCACATTTCTTTTGTCGATGGCCTTTGCTACGCTACAATCAAACTCTATGATTATCAGTACAAGCAACATCCTTTATTAATCGTGAATAACTTATGCGCAGATGTCATTATCGGTCACGGCTTACTCAAAAATCATTCTTCTTTACACTTTGAATTCGGAGGTTCTGGAGAACCGTTGGAAATTTGTAATGTAATGGCGGCATTACTACCTCCTGCTTCTCTTTTTACAAATCTTACTCCTGATATAAAGCCAATTGCCGTCCGATCCAGACGTTATAGTTCAGAAGACGAAAGAGTACTATATCATTCACTTTATACTTATTGTATGTACTTTCAAAAAATTTCAGTTTAGCGAGATATTTTATTGATAAAACGATTGAAGAATTTGCGAAACAAGGAAAGACTAAATTGGATGGCGAGAAAAGCGTTTTAGAGAAATTATTGGAAATAAATAAAGACGTTGCTGTCATAATGGCAACCGACATGTTACTCGCTGGTGTTGATACGGTAATATATTGCATTTATATAACTTTAAAAAGATATCTGTTTGAAGTGACAAAATCCATTATGACGTATGTATGAATTTTGTACATATTACATGATACAAAGAAATATATAAAGGCAAACATAATTTTCTACATCATAAACATATGCAACAAAAGACAAAATTGAATTTATTAACCTTTGATGCCTTTACCAAAATTTATTAATAGGTATATAAAAAATATTAATGTTTTTATTTAATAGCATCTGGTGTTATGTTTCTGAAGGCTAATATTATAACTGTGAAACTATAATTCTACTCTATATAGTTAGTGGTACAGTTCCTTACAGTAGTAAGGAAATAACTTCCGAGGATGCGCCGTGGAAGCTTCGCCCTTGTAGAGCGGTATGGTCTTTGCGAGTTTTTTTTGTAGATGTAAAATTGCGTAAGGGCGGTGCACAGCAGGTAGATTGGATGTTGAAACGATTGGAACTAGATAGCATAATTTTAAAGTTATTTTATGTACCTATTTATTTTATTTACAGACGTCTAACACAATGACGGCAACTCTTTTTTTGCTGGCAACTAATCAAGAAAAACAGGACAAACTTAGAGAAGAAATACGAGCTATAAAAGATCCAAGCCAGAAACGGTACTACTTGAGAGCATGTATTAAAGAATCTATGAGAATGATGCCTGTGGTATCTGGGAATTTAAGAGAAACTACGAAGGAATATAATGTACTTGGTTACACCATACCCGCAGGGGTAAGTATACTTTTTATTTTTTTTCTTTAATATTAAAAATTGGTCCTCAACCCTCGTATGTATGTAGTAAGTATCAAGCAACGTATACACATATATTTAACAGTAAATATATGTGTATACGTTGTAAATTTAATGTTGTGTTTGTAACTGTTAAATAAAACAAAATATATTTAACAGTTACAAACACAACATTAAATTTGTAACCGATGACTTTTTTCATGTACAGTAATTTAAATAATACAGTGTTGAAATATAAATTTCTGTACATAACCAATAGTTGAGCATTTGGAGGAGCATCTTATTTGGGGTCTTGTTTATTTAAACATTTGATTATGCTAGCAGATGCGACTATGTGCTGTATATAGTACAGTAGTTACATTTTTAAAAGACTTAAGTCGACAGTCTGAAGTTTTTATCTCTGTCTCTGATGCCTGACGAGTATACCCTTCCAGTTGGGGGCAAATCGTAGGATTTGGAAACCCAAATTCTTCAGATGCTTACTCCCAAAAGACATACTGAGGTTGACACGTTAAATTATAAAATAGAGGTTATTCCAAAAATATTTTCATGATCTTTAAAACTAAAAAAATAAAAATAAAAAAATTTTAACTGAACAATACTCTATAATAGTTCCAATTTTCCTATGACATAAAATATTATCATGTCAATTGCCTTCAGATGGGTGTGTCATTTATGCACCAAGCTATGTCGATGATGGACGAGCACTATCCACGAGCGACAGAATATTTGCCAGAACGGTGGCTGGTTAAGAAAGGAGATCCTCTGTATCATGGAAATGCTCATCCGTTCGTAAACCAACCATTCGGATTTGGAGTCAGAAGCTGTATAGGTGAGAATATTCGTTATTTCATTTGAAAAAAACAACATAATAATATTTGGATTCAATTCTAATTTGTTGCCTGATGTTCTAATATAATACTTAGGTAAATATCTTAGGTTATCTATAGTAAAGTTTTAAAGGCACAACACAAACACAAACGCGCGCGCGCGTCGCACACATAACACATTTTTCGCTTCTTTTGTTATTAATGTAATCATTAAATGATGTATGAATGAATTCTGATGTGTTGGTTCTTGTTAGACCTGTGTCGATCGCAATTGATCAATTCATTTTGATTCGATCGCAGGGTATAATCGAGTGATACAGTCATGAATCTGTAAAGGACTCTATCTTTGATCCAGACCTTCAATCAAACAGCAATGCAACAAGTAAAATATCTTCTATCTCTTTTGTTTACACACAATTGATTACCTTCATTTACTTCTCTCTTTCTCACTTTGTTTACGTACGTAACGTGAACCAACTGAAACGCGTAGTAACCAGGGACCAGTGGCGGACTAACCTTATCGGCGGTCCAGGGCGACAATAGGCCCGGATCGATAAGTTTTTCCAACGGGGGCAGAAACTTGATATTGCTTTATATTTATGATAAATTTCCTTTTGTGTCGCGACCTATCGGTGGCGTGATCGAATCTTGTCGTAAGAGTCACAAATAAAATTACAAGCAGTTGCATCTATGAATTATGAATTTTGACACGTGCATTCTTCTGTCGGTAATATAAAAGATCTGCGACCCAGATAATCGAATCTTTTACGAGTGGATCATGATCGACCCAGATTACGATAAACGATCAATCGACACAGCTCTAGTTCTTGTTAACATTAAAATATCTACTTGGCACTGAGCTGGAGTCTGGGAAAATTTTAAAATTGTAATAGAGAGAAAATGTAATGTTAATAAAGATTTTTTTTTTAAGAAGAATATGCTCCGAAGCTTTTGGACTGATTTGAAAATCTTTTTACTTGCAGGTAAAAAAATTAGGCCACATATTACGTGAGTTACATAGGATTTCATTTACGCAGGTGAAGTTGCGGGAACATACCTAGTACTTTAATAAGATTTCAATGATTCTTTCGTCATTCTGGGGTCGTAAAGGTTGTATTGGTTATAATGGAAAACTGTAGAGAACAGTTGTTCTTTTGTTTGGCAGGGCGGCGTATTGCTGAGCTAGAAATGGATACCTTCCTCGGCAGACTCATAGAGAACTTCAAAGTGGAGTGGTTTGGACCACCTCTACAGTCCAGGTCGGCTTCATTAAACTACATGATCGGACCGTATAATTTCATATTCAAAGATGCTTAAATTATTGTTACGTAAAAATATTATCAGCATTTCAAGTATAAAATATAACTATTTTATAATTAAAGAGAATGAAAAAAAAGGTACCGTTTGAAAATAGAATAGTCTGCCGATAAAATTTTATACATCAAGCTATAAAAATGTTCCTCAAAGTTATTGTACAATAAGTATTCGAATGAAAAATCTTTATTAAATGTTTTGGTTTCTTTATTTATTGAAAGAGTTTTAACAAGATCATTACAAACATTGTTTATTGAAACTTGAAAATAACTGTAAAAAAGTGGCGAGGTATTTAACAAAAAAGATAAACTCAACGTAAACTGGCCATTATGTTTTTCGTTAAAGAAAAACATTTTGTTTGAGAATTGTGGCAATTGATTGGATTCATGCTCGGATTTGAGTAAGATTCTACTTTCCATAAGCTCACCCATCCCATTAGTCGTTTTTGTTTACCAAAAAGTCTGCAAATATAACAAAGGCATTACGTTTTTCCATATTTGAGTGTGTTACTTCAATTACTCTAATCGAATCATGTCACCTTCAGGCGCAATTGTCATAAAGTGCCAAAAAATGTTTTATATAAATAAAACTATATAACTTTCGTATAAAAAGGGTCATAGGTGTAACTTCTATTTTATCACTTATTACCAATCGTGAACATGATTTAAATTAATAATTATTCATAAAGTCTAGGAGTTATATGTGGACGATTGATTATAAGATTTCCGTCACGACTGGCAATTAAGTCTGTTTACAGCATAATGTTTGTACTCGTCCTATATATGCGTATACACGTATGTTTTGGACACATGGTTAAATCCCGAAATCAAGTATTATTACCTTATCATACTTGATTTCGGAAGACAAACTTATCAACGTGTTCATAATTGATTTATTAACAACTGGAGTGTTTAATAGGTATTTATTAATTAATAATTCCTAATTACCAACACTTAATTAAATGAATGAGACGCTTTAATCTTTTTAATTTGAAGTAACCTGTCAGATTCATACACAATATTTTAATCAGTTTTGAACGCTCATTTAAAGATTTCCTTATATTCGAAGTTAAGAAAGTATAATATTAAACAACATTTATGTTTCGTTTTATTTTCTATCTAATATTGTTATCAAGGATTTATAGAACGAAGGAAATAAAATAAGAAGTAACAAACAGTTAGAGTGATAGTTTAATATTCAAAGGCTCGTATGGCACACAATATCGTCGATCCTCTAGCTAGGTCATACGTGTCGCAGCACTTTGCAGGGGAATTAACAGTTGCCAGAGTGATATATCTTCCCGGAGAGATATACTATATAATTTCTTTACTCTTTTAGAAAATAGATAAAATACCTTCAACTAAAATAATCCTATATCTTTTCAAACTAAAGTCGAATAAGGTAAGGCAAGGTGTTATGGAAGTTACATAAATTGACCTTATATTCAGAAGTGTTTTACTGGAATTGTGTCATAAAGACGAGGATGAAACTGCAGCACGAGGGCCAGTTTATGAGTCTTGCGATAATTCCTCGAGTTTCTAGTGTCAAACGATGCAGAGCAAATGCTTTTAGGTATCACGAAAGATATAAGTTTCCATACTATTGTAAATTCTCTCAAATTAAGTCTAAAATGATTTAGTGTAGATTTTCAGGATATGTTTATTGAACTTTCTCGTTGTTGAAAATTCCAAAATTATTTTTACAATTTTCACCCATTTGCGTATTTCGTATTAAATTCAGTTGCATAGCGATATTTTATTTCATTAAAGATACTAAAAAGTCTTCTTTTTCAATTTCTAATAATAACTATATATTATTCGATCTTTTTTTAAGTAATCGGTTTAAGTATGGCTGTGGAATCACGGATTTGGTTATTTAAGATTATCAGAAGTGAATAAATTTTGTTTATGCAACTCTGTAAAATAGGTATTAATTTGCAAATGCATTATTGAATATTATAAATTGAAAGTATTATGAGCTATTTATGTGTTAAATCTGATATGCATTTCAGCGTTATAATCGATCTATACTATAATAAAAACGTAACCGATCGATGTCTGTACATTGAAGATATATGAAAAAAACTGTTATGAGGGACATTTATAAGCATAATAGAACACAAAACAATGATTTTTAAATTTTTTGTCTGTTTGTCGGTTTGTCTGTGCGTTTGTGCACGATAATCTCAGAAACGGCTGAACCGATTTAAATGCAGTTTTGAGTATTATATTGCAGTATTCTTCCGCTAACATTTACTGAAAGATTTATTTCAATCGGTTCACAAATAAAAAAGTTATGTCAATTTGAAGTGACATGTTCGCCAAAATTGCTATGAAATATTAACTGTTTTATTAAATTTTCGTCTTTGATATATTGATCATCATCATTAACTCTTTGACAGCCAAACTACAGGGCCTCAGGCCTTTGTTTAATAATTTTTGGTCACCCATCCCGTGAACAACTCTTGCGAAAATTGCTTAGCAATATCGATCGTGCGCAGTGGCGCTTATCCGTAGCAACACCCAGCTACGAATTAATATTTTCTATAAAATGATAATTTGATTGATGAAAAATAATAAAAAAAGATCCCAATATTTTGACAACCCCAAAGTAAGTTGGCATCATTTATAAATGGCCAATGATATTAAATAGGGTTCAGGTTATAATGGACGTGTGGTATACGATCACGCGAGTAGGAGAAAAGAGCATTCCGATAATGCAATTAAGCATCGAGTAGTTTCATAGCTTGCCGGGTTTCATCTCCCATGAGACGGTGTCATCATCATCATCATAATCATCATCATCAGCCTTTTTACGTCCCCCTGCAGGGCCTCAAGCCTACCTTATGGATGGTTAAGGAGGATGGGCCATGACCCTCCACGCTGGCCCAATGCGGATTGGATGGTATTAACGACTGCAAATGCAGCCGGGTCCAACGGCTTAACGTGCCTTCCGAAGCACGGAGTAGCTCGAGATAATAATTTTTTGGTCACCCATTTCGTGACCGACCCTTGCGAAAGTTGCTTAACAACACATATAATATTACGCCAGTCTGCGGATCGGTTCAGAGAAGCTCGGTGGCGTAGTGAATAAACGCCATGGCTCGCGATTGTAGTTGTTAAGCAACTTTCACAAAGGTCGGTCACAGGATGGGTGACCAAAAAATATTATCTTCAGCAACTCCAAGCTTTGTAAGGCACGTAAAGCGATTGGTCCTGGTAGTATTTGCAGTCGTTGATATCCTCCAATTCGCATTGGGCCAGCATTGAAGGTCGTGGCCCATCCTCCTGAATCCAAGAGACTTCTGCAGTTGGTGACGTAAAAGGGTTGATGATGATGATGAGGGCCGTTCAAATCTGACGGAAGCTCAGTTTAGCACCTCTCGGAAGTACGTGTTAGGAGACAATTTCCTTCGAGTGTGGAAAGTCGAAATTAAAATATGTATATATTTTTTATATCATTAATAAATAAAGCTCCACGTATCTTCCGTCAGACATGTACCGACCGACTTTTATTGACAAAGAAAGAGATTGAACGGAAAGCGTTCGGTCTAGGGAAACACCTGAATAAAGCGAAGCGTATTTAACTACCCATCGCGAGGCTCATGCACTATAAAGTTGAATCTGAAGCATTTACCGTCAGGGACAATCTCTTGAGCTCTCGGAGAACTCATACAACAAGCGTTTGATCTCAGGAAACTATCAACTATAATAAAAATATAAACTATCGGTCCAGTAGTTTTGGGGCAAATTCGATGCAAACAAACAAACAACCAAATCTTTCCTCTTTATAATATAAGTATATCTTATGTATAAGAGGTCCGTTGGCGTAGTGGGTTAACGCATTCGGTTTAAATTGCAGTGAAATTGATGGAAATATAAGCGTCAGTCGTATCGTTCTCAGCAGCACGTTTGGTGGATGGGTAAAGAAATAATCACTCGGCGAGCCTCAGTTCAACTGCTGTAATTTATCTCGAAATACATACAATATTTCACAATATAATTACATAGGAAAAACTCGGATTTTAAACGATCACATGTGCAATTAACTAAAATATACGTCATTGCGGCTAGACGTCAAAAACAGGAAGGGAGGCAGCGCCATAGACCACGCTCCTCATAATACATAGAACATATCATAGATAACAAGTCTATGTAAAGGGTACTATTCAACACATTTTAACACTGCTCCTTACACTTTACATAGCATAATCAATAAAAAATAAGAGCCATTAAAGCTCTACAAAATTGACTCTATAATTACTACAATTTTTTTTTTTTATTTTACAATCAATTACACAGAATAATACTAAATAATAATCACATGCACTCCAATATAATCGTTACATTTAACAATATGTCAGACATGTCAAATTAGCAGAGCGACCGTAAGTTTAAATCTTTTGCAAAGTTAATATGCTTCTGCGTACAGAGAGGCTTCGTCAGTATATCTGCAATCATACTATCTGATGGTAAGTATTTTACACAAATATATTTAGTCTGTACAAGGTCTTTGATAAAATGATATCTTAAGTCTATATGTTTAGTCCTTTTATGGGAGTACTCTTTAACTTCTAACAGTTTTAGTGCACTCTGACTATCATTGTAAACAACAACATTATATGTTATGCTTGATATTTCTGACAAGAAATTCTTCACAAAACATATGTCTTTGCATACATCACCTATAGCTAAATATTCAGCTTCAGTGCTTGACAAAGCTGTACATCGCTGTTTTCGCGCCTCCCAATTAATCAAGTTTTGACCTAACTTAATTGCAAAACCAGTAAATGACTTACGGTCTAATAAATCATTGGCCCAATCTGCATCAGCGTAGGCTATTAATGAACAAGCTTTACTTTTTGTAAAATGAAGACTATACTTCATAGTTCCAGCTAAATATCTTAAAACCCGCTTTGCAGCCTGCCAATGACTAGAGTCAAAACAATTATTATATTGACTAAGTTGACTACATGCATATGAAATGTCAGGACGTGTACAGAC